AGCTGAAGAGATGGATGTGAGGATAGGAGAAGAGGTTGGCTACACTATTCGTTTCGAAGACTGCAGCAGTGCCTCTAAAACATTGTTGAAGTATTTAACAGACGGTATGCTTTTAAGAGAGGCAATGGCAGATCCCCTGTTGGAAAGGTACAAGGTGATAATACTGGATGAGGCACATGAAAGAACGTTAGCAACAGATGTTCTTTTCGGGCTTCTCAAGAAGGTGTTGAGAAATAGGCCTGATTTGAAGTTGGTTGTGATGAGCGCTACTCTTGAGGCCGAAAAATTTCAGGGCTATTTCAGTGGTGCGCATTGTATGAAAGTTCCTGGCAGGCTTCATCCAGTGGAAATTCTTTACAGTGAGGAACCTGAAAAGAACTATTTGGAGGCAACAATTCGAACCGTTGTGCAGATTCATATGTTTGAGGGTCCAGGGGATGTACTTGTCTTTTTAACTGGGGAGGAAGAGATTGAAGATGTATGCTGCAAAATTGACAAAGAAATTGCAAAATTGGGTGATCAGTCTGGTCCTGTTAAAGTGTTGCCTCTGTACTCAACTCTGCCTCCAGCTGTGCAACAGAAAATATTTGAGCCAGTAAGTACTGGGAGGAAGATTGTGGTGTCAACAAACATTGCTGAAACTTCTTTAACCATAGATGGAATCGTTTATGTTAACGACCCGGGATTTTCTAAACAGAAAGTTTATAGCCCTAGAGGGTGTGTTGAGTCATTGTTGGTGTCTCCAATTTCCAAGGCCAGTGCGCGTCAAAGGGCAGGGCGTGCTGGAAGGACTAGACCGGGGAAATGTTTCAGACTTTACACTGAGAAAAGTTTCCATAATCATCTTGAAGCACAAACATGTCCAGAGATATTGAGATCAAACCTTGCAAATACAGTGCTTACTTTGAAGAAACTCGGAATTGATGACTTGGTTCATTTTGATCTCATGGACCCTCCTGCTCCTGAGACATTGATGCGAGCACTAGAGGTTTTGTATTCTCTGGGAGCATTGGATGACGAGGGTAGTTTGACCAAGCTGGGGCAGATTATGAGCGAGTTCCCATTAGACCCTCAGATGTCAAAGATGCTCATCATGAGTCCCGGATTTCACTGCTCGAATGAAATCCTGTCAATCTGTTCAATGCTCTCGGTACCTAATTGTTTTATTAGGCCTAGAGAGGCTCGAAAACCTGCAGATGAAGCGAAAGCGAAGTTTGGTCACATGGATGGAGATCACATAACGCTTCTCAATGTGTACCACGCCTACAAGAAGAACAATGAGGATCCTTTGTGGTGCTATCAGAACTTCGTCAATGAGAAGGTACTGAAGGCTGCAGACAATGTTCGGCAGCAGCTAGCGCGAATTATGACTCGGTTCAATCTCAAGTTATGCAGCACTGATTCTAAGAGTGGGGACTACTACATCAACATAAGAAAGGCCTTGCTAGCTGGATATTTCATGCAGGTGGCTCACCTGGAAAGCAACACAGGACACTACAGCACAGTGAAAGATAACCAAGTTGTACACTTGCATCCGTCCAGTTGCTTGGATCACAAGCCAGAGTGGATTGTTTACCACGAGTATGTCCTTACCAGTAGGAATTTTATCCGGACAGTGACGAATATTTGCGGCAACTGGCTAGCTGAGATTATGATTGCACTAGAAAAATCAGGCAAAAAATTGGGTTATGGAGGGCTTACCTTAAAAGACAGGAAGCAGACTACTTGAAGATTAATGAACAAAATCCCCTTGACACTTTCTGTTTAACTTTCCATGTAATAAGAACCTTTAAGCATGTTTAAAATTGAACAAAAGAGGCTCCAACAAGTGTGCAATAATCCAAGTTGCTACTACTAACTCTAATTCTGTGTTTATGCATTGACAATGAACTCTCCATATCCTAATTTCACCAGGCTAAATTCACCACCCAAAAAAAAAAAAAACACCATCCTAATTTCAAAAGATTCACCAAAAAAATACTATTAACTCTTTGTAACATGCATTTTCATTCTATAATCTCAAATTCACAATTTGACTCCAAAAAAAATTCCATTTTCGAGCTTCACATAAAACTTAAAACTGATATCAATTACCACACAACTTTTGTTCAGATTTCACTTTCTTTGAAAACTGGAATTAATTACCCAACAGTTTTTAATTTTTAGTTGTAGAAAAATAAAAACTAAAAATTAAATGGTTATCAAACGGCTCCTAAGGTTTTTTTTATTTATATTTATATATATTAGTCGAGGTGAATTTTATTATTTTATTCTTATAGTTAGTATATAAGTTTTTTAGGGTTTAGTCTAGTTCAAAATTAACAGTTTACCTATAAGGAAAATTTAACCCACCTTATTTTTAAAATTTTGTGTCCGTCACTTATCATGTGTAAGAGCATCTCCAGCGCCAGACTCAAACCGGGGGAAAGCCCCCCCTGGCGAGCCCAAGCGCCTCCAGCGTGAGAGAAGAAGCCCGAGCAGGCCCAAGGGCAAGTTCCGCCTGGGCTACGGCCCGAGGGCTGTGACATCAGCGCTGATGTCATAGCATGGTAATTCAAAAAAAAAAAAAATTACAGTTGGCCCGTGAATTTCAAGCGGCAACAGTAAAAAAAAATTTTGATTTTTGCTCGCTGACGTCAGCGTGACGTCACTGCTAACAGCCCCAATGGGAATATGCCACGCGGCACTTCCTGGACGCTCCGATGCAATTTTTTCTAGAAATTTGACGGCCTTGATTTTTTGGCTTAAAAAATTGCAAAAAAAATCGAAAAAAAAAAATCACATTGTAAAAAAAAAAATACAAAAAAAATTCTGGATTTTTTCCCTATAAATACCTAACAATTTTATTCACTTTCCACACCAAATCTTCATACAAACTCATCTCTTTCCAATATTTTTCACTTTCCACACCAAATTTTCTACTACAAAATTTCAATTTTCTACTTCAAAATTTCATTTGTACAAAAATACAAATGTCATCTTTCATCGAAGCCGGAGGGTCGTGGACAAATGTTCGAAGATGTCAAAATCTTGGCAACGAGGTCAAGGCAAAACAAAAAAGAGGAAAACCATTACACATGGCTCCTCAAGAGATTAATTACTTTATTACAGCTGGACTTACTTAACTTTTATCTTTTAAAATAAAATTAGAAAAGTCTTTAAAAATAAAATTAAAGAATTTTCCAACCCTCCATCTCTAACTCAAACCTGCACCACCACTCTCCCTTGCTCTTCCTGTCAAATTCCTAGGATGGCGTCTGTAGCACGTTTCAGAGTATGCTTCAAATCAATCCACATCGGCTGTGCCTTCCATTGATTTTGTGTTGCAGAGTGAGAGTGTACGCAAATTCAATGGTGCAAGTGAACAAAGACGTGTTGTGTTGGAGATTTGTGAATGCTGGGCTTTGCCCAAGTAACCAAGGTGCTGCCGTACTATTTTATAAGAGCATTTCCAGCAAAGGGCCCAAGGGGAGGGTTTTGGGGGGGGGGGAAGGCAAACCCAAAATGGGGTTTCCAGCAACAAAGATCTGCTAGGGCAAGGAGTGGGGCCCAGCTATCTGGGCTGGCTCGAGCGCCAGCCCGCAGATTGAGTTGACGTCACCACGACGTCAGCGTTTCAATTAAATTTTTTTAACGTTTGCGCGTGCCAACGTTAAAAAAAATTTGATGCGCCCGCTACAGTGCCAGCCCAACGCCTCTCTTCCACGTGGCTGGCTCTGGGCTCTCCGATCTTCTTTTTTCTAGCAATCCAACGGCAGCCAATTTTTTTCAATAAAAAAAAAAGAAAAAAAATTTAAAAAAATTTAAAAAATTACCCAAAAAATTACTTTTTTTTTCCTCTATACCTTATTTCCATTTTCAACATTTAAGTAAATATCTTTGTCCTTTTACTTTTATTTATTTTTATATTACTCCATTTACTTAAGTTTACAATGTAAATAAGGAAG